GGCCTCTGACGCGTCCACCTCTACTTGGAACGGTAAAGAGGGATCCGGATGCGCCAACACCGGCGCCGAGGTAAACAGGTCCTTCAGTCTCCCAAATGCCCTGTCCGCCTCAGCTGACCACCACAAGCGCACCGGACCCCCCTTTAACAGAGACGTTATGGGAGCTGCCACCTGTCCAAAACCCCGGATAAACCTCCGGTAATAATTCGCAAAACCCAAGAACCGTTGCACCTCCTTCACAGTGGTTGGGGTCTGCCAATTACGCACAGCTGACACCCGGTCTACCTCCATCTTCACCCCTGACGCAGATAACTGGTAACCCAGAAAGGAGACCGACTTCTGAAAAAACAGACATTTCTCTGCCTTGACATATAGGTCATGCTCCAACAGCCTCCTCAATACTCGGCGCACCAGGGCTACATGCTCAGCACGGGTAGGACTATACACCAGAATGTCGTCGATGTACACAACTACTCCCTGTCCCTGCATGTCCCGGAAGATCTCATCGACGAAGGATTGGAAGACTGAGGGAGCATTCATCAACCCATATGGCATGACTAGATACTCGTAGTGTCCGGAAGTCGTGCTAAACGCTGTCTTCCATTCATCGCCCTCTCGAATGCGCACCAAGTTATATGCGCTCCTAAGATCCAATTTTGTAAAGAACTGCGCACCGTGCAGTGACTCCGTCATAGTCGCAATCAGAGGAAGTGGATAGCTGTACTTCACTGTGATCTGATTGAGACCGCGGTAATCAATACACGGGCGCAGACCTCCATCCTTTTTCTTCAGAAAAAAGAAACTTGAGGAAGCGGGTGAAACGGAGGCCCGTATGTATCCCTGTCTAAGAGACTCAGAGATGTATGTCTCCATAGCCTTTCTCTCCTCTTGAGACAAAGGATACACATGGCTCCGCGGGAGAGCTGCTCCTGACTGGAGATCTATCGCACAATCCCCCCGTCTATGAGGCGGCAGCTGCGCCGCCCTAGTCTTACTGAACGCTAATGCCAAATCCTCATACTCGGGGGGAATCTGCAGTGCTGGCATTAGATTCGGACTCTCCACCGAGGTCGCCCCTATGGAAACACCCAGACACCGCCCCTCACATTGAGCAGACCACCCTTTAAGAGCTTTCTCTCGCCACCTAATAATAGGGTCATGAGTCATCAACCAGGGAAGACCCAGCACTACCGGATACGCAGGAGAGTCAATCAGATAGAGCTGAATTCTCTCCTCATGACCCTCCTGCGCCATCATCTGAAGGGGTGCTGTGACTTCCCTAATCAACCCAGACCCTAACGGACGGCTATCTAGGGCATGGACGGGGAAAGGCTTATCCACTGGAAGGAGGGGAATCCCTAACTCTATACAGAACTGGCGATCTACAAAATTCCCAGCTGCGCCTGAATCTACCAGCGCCTTATGCTGGGAACGAGGTGCAACCTGTGGGAAACAAACAGGCAAGGTTAGGTGCACGACAGAAAGCTCTGGGTAAGCAGGGTGCCTACTCACCTGGGGGGACCCCCCAATGCGAGACCTGCCATCTCCCTCACTGGAGGACCCGCCCCAACACCTAGCCGCGGTGTGCCCTCCACGACCACAGTTGGTGCAAGGGCCGGGTCCCCTCGGGCTCCTCCTCCTCCGTTCCCTAGCGCCAGCACCTCCGAGCTCCATAGGGCTCGGCTCGGAGGTGCTGGAGAGTGGAATGGGCGAACCCCCCCCTCCGGGACGCCCACGGGTGGCGAGCAGGGTATCCAGCCGGATGGCCATGTCGACCAGCTGGTCGAACGTCAACGACGTGTCCCTGCACGCCAACTCTCGCTGGACGTCCTCCCGGAGGCTGCAGCGGAAATGGTCGATATGGGCCCGCTCATTCCACCCTGCATCAGCCGCTAGGGTCCGAAACTCCAAGGCAAAGTCATGGGCGCTCCTCATCCCCTGTCGGAGGTAGAATAGACGTTCCCCCGCCGCCTTCCCCTCTGGTGGATGGTCGAACACAGCACGGAAGCGGCGGGAGAACTCCGCATAGTTCGTGGTAGCGGCGTCCATTCTCCTCCACTCGGCGTTGGCCCACTCCAACGCCTTGCCGGTGAGACAGGAGATGAGGGCTGAGACGCTCTCGTGTCCCGAGGGCGCCGGGTGTACGGTGGCGAGGTAGAGCTCCACCTGCAGCAGGAACCCTTGACACCCGGCAGTGGAGCCGTCGTACGCCCTCGGGAGCGAGAGCCGAATCCCACTAGGTTCCGGAGATGAGACAGGAGGGCTGACCGATGGGGCTGGTTCGGTTCGTGGAGGTGTGGGAACCCCGCTGGTCTCCCATCGGTGCAGCGTATTCATCACCCCCTCCAGGGCATGACAGACCTGGTTGATGCGGTCCTCCTGACCACGAAGACGTTCAGCCATCTCGGCTGTCGGCGCGGTCGCTCCTGCTGATTCCATGGAAGTGATGCGTGATTCTGTCAGAGTGGTGTAGGTGGATGAGTAGGAATCAGGCGCAGGAAACCAGGAGGACTTCAACAGAACTTTACTAAAGTCCAAACACAAATATCAGTCGCCAACCCAACCGGGTGGCGCGAACAATTACGCACGAAAACACAGTGCGGAAACAACAAGAAAAGCGCACACAGTGCGAGCTCTCGAAAATACACAATAACGAGAGAACAAACTCGTAGAAGCAGGCTGACATAAACAATCACGCATAACACCTGACCCAAACACACGAAACTAAATAAGGGAACAATTAAGACACAAATAAGGGACAGGTGTTATGAACAGACAAAACCAAATGAACATGAAACATAGAACGGTGGCAGCTAGTACTCCGGAGACGACGACCGCCGAAGCCTGCCCGAACAAGGAAGAGGAGCAGCCTCGGCCGAAACCGTGACACAGGCTAGGTACTGTATATCTCTGCACGCTAAAGCGCGCGCATTCACACAACATTAAACTCGCCATATGCTCGCCAAACAAAGACAAAGAAAGAAATTGACAGTACACTGGTAAATGCAATTCAATAAACCAAAAGTTATTTATCACAAGTGTTGCGCAGTTTGTGAGCTCTCCAAACAACGTTTCCACTTGGAGAATGGTATGAATGTACATTATATTTAATGAATTATTAACATTTCCGTAACCAAACATTCTAAATTAATGGGGGAATATGTTGGGATTAACAGTAACTTGAATATTGACAGTAACTTGAACTTGAATCACTGATGAATATATATTTCACGGGGCATTGATAAACATTGACAAAGAATTGACACAATGAAAATAGTGTGCACGAATTGACGGGAGTCAGTGTGCAATAGTGGAGACAGATGTGCCTGTAGCACGTCTTTGCCACACACCACTTCCCTTATTCCGGTCTCGACATTTTAAATTATGCCCGAGACACGTTCCTCACACATAAGCAGTAACCTCATAAACATTGTCAGGACGTAGCAGTTGTCACTTTTCTTTCAACAGAAATCATTACGTTTCAGTATTTCTAACCACCCCCCTTAAATGCGCACACTACCCAAACTAATGGCAGAATGGCACATTCCAAACGAGCACTGGGTACATGATACATATTGACCAACATGGTATGTCCATTTGGTGAATGTAGATTGGCAAATAAAGGAACATCATAGCAGTTGCTCGGAGGCAGATGGACACTTTGCCCAGGCCCTAAACACTGTCCACTAACCTTTTGGCGATGCGGGGGCCTTTGTTGAAGCAGGTAAGGGAGCATTCTCTCCCGAACGATGCACAGTGGAGACTGGGGTTGTCTCCAGACCCCCCAGCAGTGACACAACTTCCGTGCCACACCCAGGAACATTTTGCGGTGCAGTCATTTTCTCTCCAAGCCCAGGGAAAGGGTCAGATCACACACTCCCCTCTCCAGGCTCCTGAGAGAGCTCGGTCATAATCAATTCAGTGTCAGTCAATGTCGGGATGAAAACCTCACACACCCCATCATAGGGCAGACACTCCTGCAGAGCAGAGGAGCAGGAGGGAGGCAGGTCGGCCTCAAACACTGCGTGCTCACCAGGGCCCGACTGGTAAACTTGACCCTGCCCTTATAAATCAAAATCAAATATTACAGGCGGAGGCGTGTTACGTTATTCACTTAGCCTACCACAGAGATGAGAAGCGTTTTTTCCCGCTTTTTATGGAAACCCAAAGGAGTCTTACCTAACCGCCCCAGTGGCTTTCCATAGCCCCCCTACACAGCACTCTGTCCATTGTGCTGACACAGCGCAGCAGAGATACACTTTTTTCCGCCAACCTGTCACTCAATCATTTGAACTTTTTTGCTATTTTTATATAGGGACATAAAATTAAAACTGAGGGAGCACAAGTTTGAACTGAGGGGGCTAAGCCCCCTTTAGCCCCCTCGTGGAGCCGGGTACAGTATTAAGGCTGACCCCAATGTTTCAGAGCTCCTACAATACACTTTATTCCCCACCTGTAGCGTCGTATTCCCCACTTTTACACAGTGTGAAAACTATGAACCATCTGGTAGGTGAGGAATTACATTAATTCAAGGGGGATACCTAGTCAGTTGCACAACGGAATGCATTCAACTGAAATGTGTCTTCCGCATTTAACCCAACCCTTCTGAATCAGAGAGGTGCGGGGGCTGTCTTAATCAACGCAATTGGCGCATTTGTTGGGGGTTAACTGCCTTGCTCAAGGGCAAAACAGCAGCTCTTTCCACCTTGCAGATTCGAACCAGCGACCTTTTGGTTACTGGTCCAACACTCTTAACCGCTAGGCTTCCTGCATTCCTTTCTTCAAGGAACATTTAATTCAAGGAACAGTCTATCAATATTTTCTGGTCCCAATCCTGGAACATCAAATTATGACATAGAGTGAAAGTTTTCCTTTGACCCTGTCATAATATTCTTGGAACATCATGCTGGGGGTCAAATGTTACCATACAACCAAATGAAAATCAGATAAAGACATTCCATTATAATCTAGGAACCTTCTTTTATTTACCAGAGAGGCTGTCATCCCCCCAAAAATGGACTCACCCTATCCATGCGTGACTCGTCCATGCTCTTGGAGTACTCCTTCATCTTGAGGTCCTCAAGGTTCGATGAGCTACGCAATATTTCAATGTCGGCAGAGAGGTGTGGCATGTTGGACACCCAGGCCACAGTGCGCTCGTTGGGGGTCAGGGTGGAGGGGGACTGAGAACCCTGAAAGCAAAGAGGCAAGATGATACAGGAAGAGGATCAGAAATCGCATGATCCTGCTATCAAGATTATTAAGACTAAAAGGTACTCCTATCTCGGAAAGTATTTAGGAAAGCTTGTGATGTGTTCTAATCTGTTAAGCGTTGACGGCATATTGCTTAAATTACTAGATCAAACAGCAACACTTTTCTGTGCTTTTTGGTTGGCTATCCATCTTCTACATGTATCTCTATGCACTTACCTTTGGACAAGTACTTAGATTTGGACAATATACAATAATGTTCAAACAATAGCCTTCAATACATAATCAGATTGTCTTTGATGTTACATTTACATTACATTACATACTTTTACATAATGTGAAACGTGTAGGGAACTGGGACAAAATATAGATTTGGTTAAAATCGAACACAAATTACATGTTCATAACACTGAAGTTGTGACACAGGCTAAGCTTCCTCTGTGACCCCTCCCTCCTAAATCAGTTGAGATTCTGAGAATCACCAAAGTATGATTAATATATGTAGCCAAGGTGGTTTGTGACGAGTAACCTTGCCTGAGACCTCTAGACTCGTTTTAGCTCCCAGAGCTAATGCCAAGGCTTTAGCTCAGTGGACTAACACGGTCTCAAGTCTCCTGGATTGCTCCAGTTGGATACCCAGGCGTCCCAACATAGAGCCCATGGCATTCCAGCAATAGACCTGTTTATTGACTGTGGGCTTGAGCAGATGCTGCTGTGGAGGCTGCTGCTGGGACTGCTGCTGAGGCTGCTTGGTGCTCTTAGTCGGGGTGTCTGTGGTCTGAGGCTGCTTGGTGCTCTTAGTTGGGGTGTCTGTGGTCTCTCCGTTGCCCCCTTGTGGTGCCCCCTGGCCGTCCCTGGCAGAGCTCGACTGGTGCGGGAGCCCAGGGGCTGGGCAGTCAGACGGTTTGACAGACAGCTGCTGCTGCTGTTGTTGCTGCGGAGAGGGCTGCCTGCCGCCAAAGCTGGACTCGGGCGACTGGAGAAGGAGGTTCCTGCTCTGGGGGCGGGCCTTGGGAGGGGTGGAGGTGGCCCCGGGGCTGATGGACAGCTGGGATTTGAGGCGCTGCGGGGGAGGCGGTGCTACGGAGCCATGACGGACAGGGTGCACGGTGGAAGGGGGAGTGGCCAAGGAGGTGGGAGTGCCTGTGCCTGTTGCCGTCTGAGGGGTCATGCCCATAAGAATCTGCTGCTGGAGATTCTCCTGAGAGAGAGAGGGTGGGCGGGAAAAGGAAGAGAGGGAGACAGAGGGAGGGGGGGCAGGAAATATAAGAGGAGAGACGAGGACGTGAGGAATGGTTGTGAAGTCAATTTATTCGGACAATCCTTTTGTTCATGCCTGTCTAACTTGTTTTTCAAGCATCTGCTCATACAAACAATAGGCAGATACATTTCACTATCAATGTCTCTAAAAAGTGACTGCTGGGTCATTCCTGTACATTTATTTTGAAATTATATGAAATATCAATTTAAATCCATGATGGGGTTTATCAATGCAACAGACCACAACAACAGTTTGCAACAGTCAGATTGCTAAATGTAATGTCTGCATGAGGTGTTACATGCATTGTGTGGTGTATGTATGTTTAGTATGAAGAGATGTATTCTTGTTATCGTGCACTTAGGCTCTGACAGTGTCATCTGAAATGCTGCTACCGGAATTAATGAAATTCAATTGAAATTAAATGACTGATATTTTCCTGGAATACAGACCTGCACTTGCAGCGAAAGCTGGCGCTGGGCGTATTCAGTGTTCTGGTTCTGCCGCGTGTAGTCGTCACTGTAGCTGTGAGAATGGACAATACTGGGCTGCACCAGACTGCTCTGTGGCCGCAGGGCCGACAGGTCCTCGCTGCGCGAGAAGCCACCGTGGCCGAATGCCCTCACGTAGCCCTGTTGGTGGTGGGCATTGTCAAGCTCCGGGGCCAGCAAGAGCGGAGGGGGAGGTGGCTGGGCCTGAGGACGACTGTGGGGCTGACCCCGAGGGCCGTCGGCAGCCAGATGGAAGAGGGGGTTCTGGAAGGAGAGGGGGAAGTGCATGGCGGCTGCCGCATGCTGCTGCTGCTGGGAGAGAGAGTCGGTGGGACCCCCCATGTGGTGGAGGGGTCCCCCCATCTGGCTCAGCCTCAAGCCAGAGCCCCCCGAGCCGCCAGCGGACATGTGGCCTCCCATGCGAAGCGGGCCACCCAGGTTCCCGAAACTGTGGCCCAGGCCTGCTATGGAGGCCTGGGAGGAGTTGAGCATATCGCCCACCGAATGGAGGTTGGAAATGCTGTTCATCCGTGAGTCCTGCAGGTCCATCATGGACACACTTTTGTTCACACTGAGGACCTAGGAGAGAGAGAACATAACCTGTCAACTGGAATAACCTATTATTATGTCACTTATGACCCAAAAATGTTCACTATTTAGTGATTGGGATAATTCATACAGTGAGGGAAAAAAGTATTTGATCCCCTGCTGATTTTGTACGTTTGCCCACTGACAAAGACATGATCAGTCTATAATTTTAATGGTAGGTTTATTTGAACAGCGAGAGACAGAATAACAACAAAAAATCCAGAAAAACGCATGTCAAAAATTTTATAAATTGATTTGCATTTTAATGAGGGAAATAAGTATTTGACCCCTCTGCAAAACAAGACTTAGTACTTGGTGGCAAAACCCTTGTTGGCAATCACAGAGGTCAGACATTTCTTGTAGTTGGTCACCAGGTTTGCACACATCTCAGGAGGGATTTTGTCCCACTCCTCTTTGCAGATCTTCTCCAAGACATTAAGGTTTCGAGGCTGACGTTTGGCAACTCGAACCTTCAGCTCCCTCCACAGATTTTCTATGGGATTAAGGTCTGGAGACTGGCTAGGCCACTCCAGGACCTTAATGTGCTTCTTCTTGAGCCACTTCTTTGTTGCCTTGGCCGTGTGTTTTGGGTCATTGTCATGCTGGAATACCCATCCACGACCCATTTTCAATGCCCTGACTGAGGGAAGGAGGTTCTCACCCAAAATTGGACGGTACATGGCCCCGTCCATCGTCCCTTTGATGTGGTGAAGTTGTCCTGTCCCCTTAGCAGAAAAACACCCCCAAAGCATAATGTTTCCACCTCCATGTTTGACGGTGGGGATGGTGTTCTTGGCAGCATTCCTCCTCCTCCAAACACGGCGAGTTGAGTTGACGCCAAAGAGCTCGATTTTGGTCTCATCTGACCACAACACTTTCACCCAGTTCTCCTCTGAATCATTCAGATGTTCATTGGCAAACTTCAGATGGCCCTGTATATGTGCTTTCTTGAGCAGGGGGACCTTGCGGGCGCTGCAGGATTTCAGTCCTTCACGGCGTAGTGTGTTAGCAATTGTTTTCTTGGTGACTATGGTCCCAGCTGCCTTGAGATCATTGACAAGATCCTCCCATGTAGTTCTGGGCTGATTCCTCACCGTTCTCATGATCATTGCAACTCCACGAGGTGAGATCTTGCATGGAGCCCCCGGCCGAGGGAGATTGACAGGTCTTTTGTGTTTCTTCCATTTGCGAATAATCGCACCAACTGTTGTCACCTTCTCACCAAGCTGCTTGACGATGGTCTTGTAGCCCATTCCAGCCTTGTGTAGGTCTATAATATTGTCCCTGACATCCTTGGAGAGCTCTTTGGTCTTGGCCATGGTGGAGAGTTTGGAATCTAATTGATTGATTGCTTCTATGGACAGGTGTCTTTTATACAGGTAACAAACTGAGATTAGGAGCACTCCCTTTAAGAGTGGGCTCCTAATCTCAGCTCGTTACCTGTATAAAAGACACCTGGGAGCCAGAAATCTTTCTGATTGAGAGGGGGTCAAATACTTATTTCCTTCATTAAAATGCAAATCAATCTATAACATTTTTTACATGCGTTTTTCTGGATTTTTGTTGTTGTTATTCTGTCTCTCACTGTTCAAATAAACCTACCATTCAAATTATAGACTGATCATTTCTTTGTCAGTGGGCAAACGTACAAAATCAGCAGGGGATCAAATACTTTTTTCCCTCACTGTATCTAAATTGTGAGGTATATTATGAGTTGTAATATACTGTATGTGTCCAACTCAAAGTTTTTGGTAGTTAATTAATTGATGGCTGCTAGTGGCAATAAATCAATGCATCAGTGTTTACCTTTGGGTCTGGCTCAGTGATGTCAGAACTGCTGGTGCAGTACGCAGGGCTGGACCGAGCCAAGGGGGGACGGGTCACGTAGAAAACGTCCTTTGAACCGCGGGGGTCTCGTTCCACAAAGCTTCCCATGCTGACGTGAGACGAGAGGACCCCACCCCCAGATAATGCCGAGGTTGGGGAGGGGAGACGGGAGATGTCTATTGAGCTGGGGGAGGATCATCACCATTATCTATCATTATTACCATTGTCAGGGGCTGTATTTGAAAGCTATTGTAAAGTATACATTTTAGGCTCACACCTCACCCCTCTTTGCGTCAACATTGTTTATTTACAAATACTCAAACAACAACAATGAAATTGTACAATCATAGCTGTTGGATTACGATAAGGGTGAACCAGTACTAAATTAATAAGGCATTTATAATTTACATTCTTCAAGAATCAATGCGTATCAATTGAAATTACCATTGAACCTCAAGAAATCTTACGCAGATTATGCCTTTAAACTCGGAGCAGTTACCTGTTGAGATCCCGCATCATGAGGCTCTGGAAATCAGATGATACCAGGCGATTGGAGGAAGGCCGTGTGATGAGCCTGTCCTGCTGTCTGTCTGTCTGGTGGCTGGCCTGCCGGTGGAGCTGGGGGTTCCTCAAGGCTACACTGATGTCATTCAGCAGACGTGGCAAGGGGCCAAGCTTCAGAATAGCGTCCTGGGAGACAAAGTATAATGAAAAGATTGGACAGTTTATCCCCAATTCTGTCCTTTCTCGCGAAATGTGCACTTCCATTCATGGATTTAAAAGGAAAATACTGTTATAAGAAATGTGGTAGAACCTCTATCTAGCACAGGACTGTTCATTTCCGGTCCTGGAGTGCCAAAACACCTGCTTTTCATCCCGTCCTTCTAACCAGGGACTGATTCAGACCTGGGACACCAGGTAAGTGCAATTAACTACCAGTTAAAAACAGAAACCAGAAGTGTATCAGCCCTCCAGAACCGGAATTGAGCCCTGATCTAGCCCATGCCTCCACCAATCCAATGCTTATAAATGAGTGGGGAGGAGTGCATAAATGTACATCTCTGGAGAAAGGACAGAGAATTGGGATACAGGGATCATGGAGAGACTCTGGCTACATCCCAAATAGTCTAGAGCGGCTTCTTTTCCTCTCATTCATCTACACTGAGGTGAAAGGACTGAGCAGGCGAAAGCAGATGTCAACCATATTGCTATCACCTGTTTTGTGTTCTCAGAACAGTGCACATGGAGGAAGGGAGACGAAGAGAGGAAGCCACTGTAGACTATTGAGATGCATCCATGGGCTCAATTAAAACAAACGTGTTCAGTCGCTCACGCCACTCATTGATTACATGGGGAATCCCAAGAGTTGGAGGTGTCCAATATTTCAGTTGAGGTGTGGATTTTGCAGATGTTGTGTCCTTTAAGAAAAGGCTTGCCTATTCTGTTCTCAGACAATTAAAAGTGATTTCCCCTTCCCCTCGTTCACTCCCCTTTCAGTTTCACTTAAATTATATTTACCAGTTCTCCAAAACATTTACATGCTCCCTCTAAAATGGATTCTGCCATTTTAAAGTGAACAGAGACGAGGGAACCAAAATAGAAGTGGAATTCAGCCAAGTGAACAGCGGGAGTGGAGGGAGTGAAAATACAAATGGATTTTAGCCAAGAGATGGTAAGAGAAGAGGCGTAAAGGGGTGGGGGAAGGAAACCAGTAGCAGGAGGTTTATCAGCAGAAGAAAAGCGTATTACATCTGTATTACAGCCACTTGATATTTATTTGTATACTTCAAAGACGCAAATGGAAATGCAGAAAATAGAAAAAACATTTGTTTTGACAATAAAAGGCATGCCTCATGCCTTACTGCTTCACTAACATGCTCCTCCTCATGTGGCCAGTGTAGCAGGCAGCATTGACAACAGCAGGAGTGTAATCAGTCGTGGCTCAAGCCGTGCCATTTTTTGGGGGCAGGTGTAGCATTGCTGTTACCTTGATCAGCTGGAGATGGGAAAATATTCAGCAACTCTTGGAGGACAATAGATTTTGTCCTAAAAAAAACGTACTTATTATTAAAACCAATGCATTTAGGATGCAATATCCCGAGGAAGGGTACATTATATGCCAAAATATATTGGTTTTAATAATAAATATGTTTTTTTAAGTCAACTTCCTTTGTCCTCCAAGATTTGCTCTCATTTTCCTTTTGCTATTTGGTTCATGTGCGGGGAGCGACAGTATTTTCTTAATGTAATGGCATGGATGATGACTAACCTTGCCTGAGACCTGAAGACTATGACAAGGCTTTAGGCTTTAGACTAGTGGGCATGTGTGTAGTGTGCAGAAGACCAGGGTTCAAATCTAGACGGTCACATTCCACATAATCTCGTTCCCAGACACTTCCACCCAAATGAACGAACAGTCTGGTGGACCAATGCGTCAAACTTGGCCTTCATTATCCAATTATACAGAAAGATCAGGAGAAATGTAGGCATCGGCTTAATCTACTAACCAATCATCTACCACAACACCTTCCCCCTAACCCTACCCCCTACATGTCATGTGTGCACCACACGTTCTTGCTTGGGTCCTGCCTCCATTTGGAGCCACGCCTCACAGTCGTGTGATTCGCTCAAATTAAATGATGACAAATACTTTACTCATTAAGGTCACTCTCATAGAATTCTATGGTCACTCCCACTAAGGCCAACTTTGAATGGTTGATGTCCCAGGCTTATATGCGCTGTGCACAATAGCCTGGGGACGAGGTTACATTCCACATTACCTTGCTCAGTTGGGCCATGACTTCCCACAGCAGGCTGTGGAGCACCGACAACTCCTTGCCCAGGTCGATGTAGCCCTCGAAGCCCCCGGCGTTGCTCCCCGTGTCCATGTTGGAGATCTCATACAGGAACTGCTGCATGGAGCCCCACTCCATCTCCAAAAACTCATTCATGAAACACATGTGGTCCTCTTTGCCACTAAACCTGAGGGGAGAATAGACAGCAGTGTGGAGGGAGCATTGAGAGAGAGAGAGTGGGAGAGTGGGGGAAAGACGAGAGAGACAGTGGGGTATAGAGAGAAATAAGTTCTCACAGACAGTGAAAGATTGAGGGAGAAAGGGACAAGATATATAGTATAGAGGAGTACAGATAAATAGAGATAAGGGGGTATGGAGCGATAACAAGAGAGGGGAGACAGACAGTGTGAGAATGCAAAGAATGAAAGAGCAGGAGAGGAAGATGGAAGGATACAGTATGAAAAACAGGTGATGGTGAGGGGGAGAATTGAATTATTCGTACTTTAACCTTGTAACAAGAATATCTCAAAAACAAATCATTTCTGTGCAGACAGACTTCTCCACCGTCTGAACATTTGTGCCATTGAAACCTGTTACGGTCACTTTTGTGAACAATCATCTTGTTTGTGGACAATCATGTTGGATGAATTCTTCATTCACTGTCCCCAAAGGAACAAAATATTTGGTAACACTTTATTTCACGCTGTGATATAATGCATTATGATGCAGTTATAATGCATAGTAAGATTTAAACAAGTCATAAGCATGTATGACCCCATTGTAATGTCGTGGAAATAGTGAATGGATTGGTTCCTGGAAGAGTAACTGATCGAGGACATAGATAATGACTTATCAAGGCTTGATTGGTAGTGGACATACTGAATAAATGTGAGGGAAGGCTAAAATAAAGGTTATGTTAAAAGAAAGGCTAAGATAAATGTAAGAGAAGGCTAAAAGAAAGGTAATACTAAAAGAAAGGGAAAGCTACGTGGGAGTAAATTGTACATAGGAGGAAAGGCTAAAAATAAAGTTCATTGTAAATGAAAGGGAAGGCTGAATGTGAGGGAATGATAAATGAAAGGGAATGATAAATGAAAGGGAATGATAAATGAAAGGGAATGATAAATGAAAGGGAATGATAAATGAAAGGGAAGGTTACATGAAAGGGAATGATAAATGAAAGGGAATGTTACATGAAAGGGAATGATAAATGAAAGGGAAGGTTACATGAAAGAGAATGATACATGAAAGGGAATGATAAATGAAAGGGAAGGTTACATGAAAGGGAATGATAAATGAAAGGGAATGATACATGAAAGGGAAGGGAAGGTTACATGAAAGGGAATGATAAATGAAAGGGAATGTTACATGAAAGGGAATGATATATGAAAGGGAATGATACATGAAAGGGAATGATACATTAAAGGGAAGGTTACATGAAAGGGAATGATAAATGAAAGGGAATGATAAATGAAAGGGAAGGTTACATGAGAGAGAAGGTAGTGACTGACTTGGAGAAGCTGGCCAGGTTCTGCACCACCTTGGCGATGAGGGTAAGAGTGCGGGATGTCCGCTCTCCGGGGTACTCCTGGGTGAGGTTGAAGAGAGAGGGCGACATGATGGCGGGACACAGGAAGCGTAGAAAGAGGGAGGAGCTGATGAGGCGGTCTGCGATGTCCTCCCTTCCCCGCTCGGCACACCTGACCCTCCATGAGGCAAAGACATCCTTCAGCTCCCGCGGAAATACACTATAATAAAAGGGTATGAAGAAGACAGAATAGAAATACTATCATTA